TCTTCAGCCACAGCTATCAAGTCAGATGTGCTATCAACCAGGGAAACCCCATGCAGGTGGTTTTTTACCCTAAAAGAATGTCACCAGCTACAAGGAGAGGCAGAAACTACCTGGTACCAAAATGACACTTAAGAATGACTTTGAAATCTCTTATCATGAGCAGTCCCTGTAGTTTCGATGCAAGCTTCTGCCAGGTAAGGCCCTAAATCCTGTGTGAAAAAGAGCGATACAAGTTCTGTATAAATTGCTTGTTGTATTTTAGTATAAAAATTAAATGCCTGTAGTTTGATTAACTAATGTTTCATGCTGGGGATTATGATCTTTCTGCTTGGAAGTTTAAAATTCTGAAATATGACTAGAGATAAAAGATCCAGTTGAAAGCTGATGCCTGCCTTGTTGGATGAGCAGCTTCCGAACAGACGAGCCCACATGACTGCACACGCAGCAAATGTGATGTTAAAATATTCTGCCTGGCTATACAGATCCATTTGTGACTGAGCAGAGCTGCACTAAAACGCTGTGAAGTTGACGTTTCCAGGACAAGGCACGGGCATGACCAGATGTGCTGTGCACACCCTGGAGGAAGGATCCCGTCTCTTCTACCTTCCAGTGCAGCACGCACCTTTGTCATTCACCAGCATAGATCAGAACCAAAACCAGAGCAGAAAACTTTCCTGCCCAAACTAGATGATCCTCAGATAATTTGACACGTGTGTGTGTGTGCCAGCAGGCTGGAGTTTGGCTCTGTGGATATTTACTAGCAGTTATCATGGATTTCGATCTGTCTTGTTTTCTGAAGTACTGGGCTGCATCGTAAGCAGCACCCGGGGCAGGGGCAGTGACTCTCGGCCATCCGTACAGAGCAGGCAAACGCCTGCTCCCAGGGGACTGCTCTGATGCTCTCACTTCACCCAGAGAGCATCCCACAGCCCAAGTGCAAGGGTTTGTGGTACAGCTTTTCTTCACACATCTCTAAACCTCAGGCACTGAAGCAACGTTGCAGTCCAGGAGACAAGCCTTGCTCTAGTTTGAAGCAAATCTCCTAAAACTCACAGTTCTGGGGCCATCGACACCAGCAGCTTTAATATGTTGATCCTCTCCTACTGTGCCTCATTACTTAATAGTGCAAACATAGCTGCTGAAAGATGTCAGTGCTTGAACTGACTCAATATGTGGAAGCAATGCTAGCTGTTGTCTTTCAAAACAGCAGTGTTTAGTTTGAAAAAAGAAATAAAAAACAAGAGAAAAGTGTAGCTGAACAGCTAGAGAGTAAAAAATGACTGCGATAAAATATGAGTGCAGTTAGACTAGTGGAAATCCAGTTTTATTAAATATTATATTATAAATATTGAAGTAATATTAATAGTATTGCTATGACATTATTATATTGCTTAGTTTGGTTCAAATGAAAGATGAGAGGCATTAAAATAAATTATAATCATAATAGAAATAACAAAATATTCAGCAGAAGAGATCTAAAAGACATTTCTCTGTTGCACAAAGTTACATGAAAAGGAAGCAAAGGCATCAAAGAATTTCACAAATCTGTTTTTGTTGTAGCAAAACTGAGCTAGTGCAGAAATCTGTGATGAACCCAGAAAGCGTTTTCATTTGGCAAGTTTTAAAATAAGATCACAAAGAAAATAATGACTAAGAATGAGAAAACAGGCGGAGGAGGCTTGAATTAAAATGAAGCAAGGAGCAGCAGGGAGATGCAGCAAAGCTAATCAAAGCCTCTATCTGATAACCCAGTGCTTCTGAAACATCATTGTGTGCTTCATGATCAAATCTGCATGTGAAAACTAAGAATAATGTTTTCAAAAGCTGAAAATCCTCTAGTGCCTCAGGTGCAATTTTCAGTGCCAATAGTTTTATTATTTAGAAGTCAAATAGAAATGCTGAAAATTGTTACCTTTAAGCCAACTAAGTTTTTTTTGTTTTTTTGTTTTTTCCCGCTTATCACTGATACCAAAATAAAACCAATTTTTTAGTATTTGAAAAGACTTCCAGGCAATCAAAAAACAAACATCCCTTTTCATTCACAGATAACCATAAAAAAAGCCAACAAACAGAAAGTGTAGTTTCATAAAGTTGTCACTGAGACTCTTTTTTCTTAACAATATTCAGATACTGAATAATATCTGAATAAGAATATAACATTTCTGAATAAGAAAATGTTATTTTCTTAACAACATTCAGATCCTTCCTTAGAATCTCAGAGTCCCACAAACAAATCCCACCTCCACCTCTTAGGATCGCATGAATGTCTTAAGAGTGACATGAATTATCAGTTTGAGCTGGCACTGGAAAGAAAGAACTTTTCAATTCTGATCTTTAATTACCCATCAGTTCATTTTTTTCACTGTACAAAACAGTTTCCTCCTTCAAAAAGATAGTAGCACTCGCTATCTTATTGCAGGACGGATGTCTGGAAAGATTTCTGACAATGAAAACTGTAGCGTGCAAAGTATTACTAATTTGGAAAAGAATGTGCTACAGTTATTTTATAAATATGGCATAGACTGATCATTAATTTAGATTGCTAAATGTGAAGATGGGAAATATCATGCTCACCAGCCTCGTTTGACTGTGGGTCATCATCTCCCTCCCCAGTTATTTCTTAATTATAGCTCTGCCCAGGTTGGCCAGCCTCATGGCAATCATTACTGTGGAGTCCTTGTATTATCACAGCACTTAAGAAACAATCACGGATCCTTTTAGGTTCTGTACAAACAGAGCTTTTGCCTCACTTGTTGAGATGGATCTCATCTCTTCCTAGCGGTTCTTAGACCTCAAAGAGCTTAAGCGCTCCCAGCTGCTGGAAAGCAGCTTGTCCAGCAGGATGCCAACTCCACCAAGCTGTTTTCCGCCTGTGAATCCCCCTGTCATGGTGCAAAGGATTATTCCTCCCCAAGTGCAGGACGTGGCATTTCTCTGGGTTGCAGTTCATGAAGTTCTTCTGTGCCCAGTTGTGCAGCCTGCTGAGTTCCTTTGGAATAGCTGCACGCCCATCTGGTGTATCGAACACTCTTCTCCATTTTGTACTCTCCATAAGCTTGCTGAGGGTGAACTCCATCCCATTGCCCAGGTCACTGATGAAGATGTTAAACAGTCAACCCCTGGGCTTCTCAGGTAGTGACTCTTCTCCAGCTGGACTTCATGCTCCTCATCCCAACCTTGGGAGCCTGGCTGTTCAGGCAGTGTTCGGTCCACCCCCTTACCCGTTCGTATAACCTGTAACTTCATCAGTTTGACTGTGAGGATGTTGGAGCAGAGAATGTCAAGAAGCTTTGTTAAAGTCAAAGAAAACAACACATCACCTGCTCTCCCCTTGTCCATCACGCAAATCATCTCGTTGCAGAAGGGTATTGGGGTTGTCAAGCACAGTTTCCCCTTTGTAAATCCTTGCTGGCTACTCCCAGCCACCCTCTGTCTTTGGTATGTTTGGAAATGGCTTCTAGGATTATTTGCTTCATCATCTCCCCAGGGAGTGAGGGAAAGCTAACCAGCCAGTAGGTGCCTGAACCTTCTTCCATCCCTTCCCCAAGACTGGAGTGCCATTTCCTTCTGCCAGTCCTCGGATACCTCCCCCACTCACCCATGAGCTTTTGAAGCTCTCTTTTGTCCTGCTTTTGTACAGTACCTAGAAGGATCTAGGACTGTTTCTGAAGTTCTGTGATAATACAATAAATACAAACTAAAGATCATTTGGTATTACCTCACAGTAATGACAGTTACAAGTGAGAGTTAAGTTACAGTTATTTCAGGTTCCATGCTGCCTCTATCGTTTTTTAACACTACGACAACTCTTCCATAAATAGAGACATCACAGGCTTATTTATGTTAACATTTTATTAAATCAAGCTAGAAATTGAATCACAAACTCTTGGCCCTAGAACTTCTGGGTTTATGAATAGATTCAGCATAAGGAATGTTAAGGCATCTCTTCGACTATATATTATGATCTTCTGCTGGAACTTACAATCACTCTGCAATAGAGAAACCCATAAAAATGTCAAATTTCACAGCAGTACATTTTTGTCATCAGAAGTATTCTGTAATTTTTGGATTGTGACACCTTCACTAACTGAAATATGGATCAGTTTTGGCTACTACAACAGGTAAAAAATCAGCATGAAGCTATGAATAGAAATAACTATAAAGAGAAAATAATTCCCTATCCAACCAGGACTATCTTCAAAATCTTATAAATAAAGATCTACATTTCCATACATGGTCATTTTAATGTTTGACACATCAAAACAGACTTGGAAGACTAATTTGTGCTAATCAATCATTTATGGGCAAAAGGGGCTAATTTTTAAGGTGCCAGTATCTCCAGAGCTCAGATCAAGACAGTAAGAAAGAGGTGCTGATATAAAACTCATGCAGCTAGCTGTATTTTTAAACCACTACCCCCTGAGAACATGACAAGTAGCTTCATCTAATGGCCAATATGCTGAGCTCGTATATTCTGCAACCTTATGGCACTAATAATATTCTTTTTATAAAGCTAATGAACTCTATTTCCTCAGGGTTGGAAGCTCTCACTTCTCACTGCAAAGTTAACACATTCCAGAAAAAGAGAGAAGATGGGCACATGGAGAAGATAGCTGAAAGCAACCAGCTCGTAAGGAATAGGTCCATTCCACAAAAGCCACATTCCAGCGACTGCAAAGATAGAAATATGTGCCCCAGAGCACCAACTGCAAATGGCAATTTGCTATGCAAAAGCAGGCAAATGTGAAAATGCCTGAAATGGTTCCTAGATCAATCTCCTTTCAGGAGACGTGATGGAGGAGGGCTTTTCCAAGCATTAAGGCTGAATGCGAAGGGGAAGTAAGGTTCATTACCTACATCACCACCCATTCACAGGAAAGAAGTGATTATTCCCCACATTTGCAGAAGGTTTCAGAATATTAAACAAGGTGACTCAACACAGCAATCCTGAACAGGTTTCTTCTGCAAAGATTTCAAGTCTGCTGGCTGATTAATAAAGCTGCCCAGCTGTGATTACTCTAAGGCCATATAGGTGATTTGATGGAAGAATAACATTGAACAAAATAGATCTGCAGTCCAGTGAGATATCTATGAATTACCAAATCATATTATCCTGCAACTTTAAAGTGAGGTGTTACAGCGAAAGTTTCTTATTGTTGACTCTTACTTCTCATTGCTGCATGCCTCGAGTAGAACTGAGGCTGTAAGAGCAAACCATTTCTGTTCTGGGATGCTGGTTTCAGGCCTCCGATGGAGAAATTCTTTTTCAGACTCCAAATTCCTTCCAGAGACACTGTTAATAATTTGTTAAAACAATCCTGTTACAACTTGTTCTAGATGAATGTAACATTTAGAAGACAGTCCCTTTGGTCAGTACAGTACAAATAGGGAGAACATTGTAATCATCCTCCATAACTAATGAAAACCAGATTGACATCTTCAGAGAGGAATTTGGATTGCTAAAGGTGTGTGTTACTCATTAGTGCCTGTGGAACAGCTTAGGACTACTAGGCTAACTGAAGCAAGATGTAGCTGATCTATAATGTATAAGAAACAGCAGTAATACTGTAAGTGCAACCAGTATGGTTTATTGGTCATACTGGAATACCAAACGGCCTCATAAAAGCAATAGCAGGGAAAAAAAAAAAAAAAAAAAAAAAAAAAAAAAAAAAAAAAAAAAGCTAGTTTATTTTGTAGAAAGGTTACAATTTACCAGTCATCTAATTTTTGTAAAACAGTAAGCTTATGAATCATCTGAACTGTGTAAATCAGTAGCCCTCCAACCTGACAGTTGGTTTTTAATCAAAGCCCTGGCCACTTGTGGAACATCTCTAATTCTCTAGATGTATACTAATGAAAAAGGAACTAGGCTCTTGCTGAGTAATTTGCACACCAACATCTAATTGACCTTTTTATACATAGCATTATTACGGTAAGCATAGCTTGTAACTACCGTGCTCTACATACCATTATACACAGAACTTCTTATACACAGATTTTATACATTCCCCTAACAAATATTTTTTGGTGGTTCTGTTTTATCTGAAGTACTTTAAACTTCTGTAATATTGAGAGAATCTCCAGAAATCATGAGAGTATATTTTGTAGCATCCACTCATGTGATCAAATTGAAGCCTTCCTATTTTGACCCACTGGCAGATGAATGCAGTCCAAAATAGGTGTGTTAAGTTCTTAGTAACATCAGACATGAGCAGATCGAGCAAACCAATGTTAACATCTGCAGCTCAGCTACTTGCCCAGATCCCCTTTACAGTCACTGGGCACAGAACAGGCACTTACAGAGCATCACTCATGCAGAGGTAGGTATCTAGGACAAGAATTATATTTTCAAAATGTCTTTCTTTTTCTCCATTTACTATAAACAGAGCTTACATAAGTAGTTCATTTGCCTGTGTGCTGTAATTGCCTAAGGAGCCTAACCAGAGAAATGCAGTTGCATGTTCAGATGGTCTTTAAACTTGACAGACTACCGGTTACATCAACTAACTTTTGTACATTTTCATCTGTGAATCCAATTGTTTGAAATTCACTTTGAGTAAATCTACACTTGGGTCTTCATCCCACAAAAGACAAGACAGATATTTTTTTTCCAAAATTTTCCAGATTTGGAAATAAAGGCTAAATTACCCTTGCCACATTTGTGGAGGGTGTAATGATTAAGAAAGACAACAGCGGGCCTATTGCAACAAAACACAGCTTAGTATAACCAAGGGACAGGTTTACTCTGTAGAAAAGAATGTGGGGCTACAGAACAGGAATCAAGTATTATGGCACAAAAGATGAATTCTGTATTATATATTCAAAAGATTAAATACATATTATTCACGTGTTATAGATTTAGGAGTAACAGTTGGCAAATAGTTCAACATCCCTGGCTTATGTTAGCTTTAGATTTTAGTAGAGAAGTAAATTAAAATAAGTAGATGATTCTCTCCAGGATATTAGTGATACAAATACTGAAATAACGTGATCAGATTTGGTATTTACATTTTAAAAGGGGAGGCAAAACAATTGGTCAGAGTTCTTAAAGAGCTAAAAACAAGTTAAGTGCTAGACATAACACTCACATGGAGAGATGTTGAGACTCTAAACTGCTTAAGCTATCAAATACTGACTGCAAGCAACTTCCATTATAGTGTATATATAACTTCTCTCGAAGAAAATCCTGGATACTAAAAAAAGGACTATCAACAAAGGACCCAACAAAGGCAAGGAGCTGAACTGTACCAATCACAATTATTCATATAATCACAGAATGGTTTGGGTTGGAAGGGATCTTAAAGCCCATCTAATTCCAACCCCCTGTCATGGGCAGGGACACCTCCCACCAGCCCAGGTTGCCCAAAGCCCCATCCAGCCTGGCCTTGAGCACCTCCAGGGATGGGGCATCCACAGCTTCTCTGGGCAGCCTGGGCCAGGGCCTCACCACCCTCTGAGGGAAGAATTTCTTTCTTACATCTAATCTAAATCTCTCTTCTTTTAGTTTAAATCCATTAGTCCTTGCCCTATCACTACACCCTTGGACAAAAATTCCTTCTGCTAGGCCTCAGTCAACTGCCACCACACTGAAGCCTACAGTATCCCCAAAAAACAAGGTTTTGCAGTCCACTTAATTCATGCATATGTTTTATGTTTTGCTTTAAGAGGATACAGAATCACAGAATACCCCTTGCATGCAGATGCCATGGGCTTTTTCAACAGGAAGGTTCTTAAAAGCCCTACCAAAACTTGAGGAGAGGCTGCGTCCTGACAAAAATATACTTACAAGCATACAGCTAGAGAAATGTTTTCTTCAAAGAAGTGAAAATACACAATGTATGTAAATCCTAACTCTGCTCAAAGGAAGTAGAATTTGGCTTCATTTAACAGTCACCTTTTCTACTTGTGTAGCCTGCAGTGAAACGTAGCGCTATGAATGAGGCATGATTTTTTAACATGCCAGCCACTAGAACAAACTAATGAGGGAAGCTGCAAGAACCAGCTTTATTCAGCAGGCTCTGCAGAGAGGCACAACCTGAGGTACAGCAGCTTAACCAGTAGAGACAGTCAGGCCTGGCAGTCAAACAGATCAGCTGTCCTATCCTTAAACATTGCAAATGTCTGAAAAATAAATTTCTACAATTAGATGAATAGTTCTATGGCTGCAGGAGAAAACCACCACGATGTAAGTTATGTCCCACATGGGTCACATGGCTTTATACTCATTTCTGCATCACAACTAGCAAATGAGCTCGGACTAGGGTTGTTTACATGGAAAATATTTAAAATTTATATTAAAATGAAGAATCTAATTGATCTTTCTTAGATTGTTCCATCATTAGGCTCTTTTTGTTAAAAAATGCTAATTGTTTTTATTCTGATCTTCTAATTTTTACCTCCAATTCTCAGAATTAAGTTTCTTATCTAGACCAAACACCTTGTTCCCTCTTAGACTTTCATTTCTTCATTTGCCTACTATAGTCAAGTAGTTCCATAACCTTCAAACTGCCCGAACAGACTGATTTTCTACTTGCCTTCACTGTTTTCCTGTCCTTGATCTAACCTTATTCATTCTTACCTCAACTTCTTTTCAACACCAACTTCAGAACTGGATGAAGTATTCTAATAACTACAGCACCTCTTTCAAAGAAAGATGTAATAAACCTCTCTAGCACTTGGTATTTGCTTCTGTTTTATTAAACTGATAGATCATATGGAATTACATGTTCTCAACAATTATGTTCCCAATAATTTCAGGCTAAAAAATAGTAGAGACTATATGCAATTCTTCTGTTTCTGAATGTTCCCCAGATCATTCCATGAATGTTCTAGGCTGTTTTTGTTGTTGTTGCTCGGTTGGTTGGTTGTTTTTTTGGTGGTTTTTTTTGTTATAATCAGTAATTTTGCTGCAGTTCTCAAAACATCTTTTGTTCCATTTGCCCTGACAAACACTTTTCATTTGCTCGTAAGGAAGATGACCTGCAGCTGGATGTTTAATGCTGTATTCTTCTTTCTGAAAATAAAGCTCTTCTTGAAGGATTTCTTTAACTCTCCTAGATGGCTCAACATACACAAATTTCTTCCCTGTTAGCAAAACACATTACAAAAGAACCAGTTATTTAGTGTTAGGCCAGAGGTTGGACTCAATGATCTTGAGGTCTCTTCCAACCTAGAAATTCCGTGATTCTGTGATTTTACCCACGTCTCCCACCCCAATCTCAATATGCTTTGCTGAATGTAATTTTATCCTGTCCCGTTCTACTTTTATCTTTCACACACCTTACGACCAATTTACAGACGTGATAGGGTTCAGACATGCCCGGACCCACAAGGGATTCCTCACAGCAGTACCACAGCGGGTACCTAAAGGGGAGCACTGCAGGATTCAGAGGGAGCTGAAATCCATGGCAGCGAGCCAGGCACCTGGGAGAAGGGACAATGGGGTCCCTCCATGAGCAGCCCCAGCTGGAGCAGAGTGCTTCCAGGGGGACATGAAGGAAGCCCCCGAGATGTCCTTGCTGAAGGGGACGCCTCACAACATGTCACCCCTAAAAAAAGGCAGCGCACAGCAGTGCAGCCCTGCATGAGGCCACCACGGAGGCGGCCTGGGGAGGGATGCGACGCTTTCCTTCCCCATCTCCACCCTCCAAAGCTTTCTGGGGACCCATGACGGGGCAGGACCCCTGAGGAAGAAGCCGGAGCCCACCCCCGTGGTGCCCAGAGAGCCGGGGAGGGGACCCTGAGGCGGACAAGGGGCAGTGAGGCGAGCCGGGGGCCGCCGCGCTCACAGGGCTGCCCGCCTCTCGCCGCCTCGCCGCGGCTATCGCTGCCCGTCTCCTCGGCTTCCCCCGCCGGCTGCGGGCCGCTCGCCGCCGCGCCGCGGCCATCGCTGCCCGTCTCCTCGGCTTCCCCCGCCGGCTGCGGGCCGTTCGCCGCCCTCATGGCCACCGTGCCCGGCCAGCTGCGAGCCGCGCGGCTCCGTTGCCATAGGAGCGGGGATGGGCGGGGACGGGCGGGCCGCGCCCCGCCAGCGGCTGCCCGGCGCCATCTTGTGGCTGCCCTAGGGGCGATGTTCTGTAGCGGGCTGTGCCGCTTTTGCTTTCCGTCAGCGCTGAGGTGTTTTGCGCCTTCCACTTTGACCTAAAAAAAAAGGCCTTTGACCTTTTACCTCCCGTTCTTTTTAGTCAAAAAAATCATGGATGAGCCCCCGGTGCAAAGGCGTCCTGGGGTCGCTGTGTGGGGACCTAGGGTTGCCTCATGCCGCCATGGGGCACAGGGCAGGCTACAGTCCATGGTTTATCGTTAAACATCACTCATGTGGGGCAGGCAGCATTACACATCAGGTATGCACACACATCACTGCTGCTTTGTGTCCCTAGAAAGTGTTGCCACTACCCTAACTTTTAAAAGGATGTCACATTTTATGTCAATCTTCAGACTGAGACTGATAAAGACAGAAGGATCCAGCTTGACTGGATCGACTTACAGGAGCATTCGCTTGATTTTAATAGGCACTTGTTGTAATATAAGGCACCTTGAAACTTTGATAGGACTGAGGTGGCATTTTGACTCCACTCATCTTGCTGCTGTGCATGCTATGAAGAAGAGCATCTTGCAGGTACCACAGCAAGCAGAGTGCTGCCAGATAGCAGCAGATGAGTACACCAGCAAGCTGTCCCACTCACCCAGCAGAGAGATTTGCCTTGTGACAGCTTCCTTGAAGCCAGAACTTGGCATACAGGAAGTGAGAATCTGTAAGATACAAGCCATGTCTAGTTAAACCAATGCACAATGTAATCTGTTCCTCATTAACGCATTTCAAAGCATATGTCGTTCACAAATATCCTGAAACCAAGCTTTCAAAATACCAAACATTAAAAATTACTTTGTACAATTCACATTTCAAAGGCAGTTCTCTATTTTTTTTTTTTTTAACAGAATCGCAACACAGGGCTCCAGGAAAGACATGGTGATGAACATGCCCTCCAAAGATGCTTGATCAGAGGACCAAATAAATGCCTCAGAGGACAAAGGCCGACACATTCCAGCCTTGCTGCTGCTGCTACAAGTGTGCTTCAGACCTGTTAGTGGTGTCTGGAAGGAGCTTGGGATCACTCAGTAAGGTGTCTGCACAGGAGAAGATGTTTTCTTACAGTTGTCTTGCTGAGAGACCATATTCCAGGCCTTACATTCATTTTCTAGTTCAATTTGATTAACAAATAGAAGCAAGTTTCTCCACTCCTATACTATAAATGGGAAAGTTGGAGCTCTCACACCGCATGCCTTTAACATGGGAAATCCTGTAGTATGCTAATTCCTGCACAATACAATGCTTTACCAACCAACCTCCACCAATTTCAGTTTGGTTAAGCCACGGCAGTCAAATCTGAGTTTGAACTAGCAATACTAGCTTTAAATAATTTGGCACAATAACATGGTGTCTGTTCATCCTCACACAGTTGAGGTTCCTATGAATAATTCTTTTGATTTATGAACAGGCAATCACATTGGTTATTGAGATTTCAATTAAAAATATGACAATAGAATACATAGGGTTGACTGTTTTATTTTATAATAGGCCTTACAACAGATCACAGCATTTTGTGTATCACCCAAATAAGTTACATTCATACTGAGCTTTCATGCAATTTCTTAAAAAATTAAATTTCTGAAAAAATATTTTTCTCTTGAGCTGTAATAAATTTTGTATAACCAAGCCTGAATTCTTCCACAGAAATAGTCCAGTTTTCCCTCTTGCTTTGACACTGTTTTGGACCAATTACAAAAAGTCCCTTCAAATTTACACTAATTAAACAGAGACTCACTGAAATCACTGAGACTTGCTGAATACGTCGATAACAGAAATAACATTTCAAACTACGAGGGAAAGCACTGAGTTGATTTGCAGGAAGTAACCTGGCTGAAGAACACCCAAGTCTCTGAACTGAAAGCCTTGTTGCGAAGGGACAGGCCACCACTGACAAGCATGCAGCACGCTGCGTGACAGATAAGAGGTAGGAAAACCCACACCCACGAGTTTAACCACAACTTTTAAGGGGTCACAGCATTTATGCAGTCTTCTACTATTTCAAAAAGGTAGTGATATACGTCAGTCCTCCTGGCGATGTCGAGGGCAGTTTCATCCAGATTATTTTTCAGGTCTGCTTTCACGTAGCGATTCATCAGCAAAAGTTCCAGGGTTTCTCTGCTGTTTTTGTTCCCCGCGGCGATATGCAGCGGTGTCAGCAAGCCGTTTGTCTGGGCATTGATGTCTGCGCCCTGCTGAAGCAAGAACGAGGCCACTTTTGTGTTGTTCCACTTGCACGCGCTGTGCAGGGGCGTCCAGCCATCCACCGTCTGCGCGTGAACATCCGCCCCTTGGGCGACCAATTCCCGTGCCATGTCCAAGTGCCCGCTGTAGGCAGCTCGATGCAGAGGGGTGTACTGGTCTTCGTCACGAGCGTTAATGGGGGCCAGCTTTTCGGAAAGGAGCCTCCTCACTGTACTCAGCTATTGAAGTGAAAGTAATTTATTAAGAAACTCAGCAAACAAGATGTATCGCTTCTGGTGTTCTACCCATCTTTAGATCTTTTAGGAAAAAGCAGTTTCTCTCACTCTCAGGACTACATAACACAAACTTTGAAAATTAAACCAGTTATGGTTACTTAAAATAAACAGATATCCAGCTCAGACGGGCACAAAAACACACAGCCACTGTTTATCCCACTTAGCTTTGGGCATTTAGCTGCAGTGCCTCAGACTTCCCCATTTGCTGTGAAGAAACACATGCCTCCACAAAACTAGAGGTGGATCTTTTGCATATAACAAAGGCAATCAATGAAAATAAATGCACACATGGGTGTAATAAGGTACCCATCAGGAATCTCCACTTTATTCTTGGAAGTTAATTCTTACCTTAGTTAATTAGAAGTTAGTTATTACTGAAAAAATAAAAAACTTCTTCTCCAAGAAAGAGCCGGGAAAACAGTCACATATTCTCTGTACAAGTAGCTTTGAAGAAAATAATTTTTCAGATATGCCGTCTCCTCCCCAGTTAAAAGGCTTACCTGCCTTGAAGAAAGGGTCTGGCATGTTTTTGGTTTATACAAACTTTAAAACAGTGCTGTTATTTTAACTTTGAACTACAATCAAAGTGTTTCTTCTGAAAGCTAATTGACGCAGAAATATTTTAGCGTGTGTGGACTGAAAAGCAAGCTGCTTTTCAGAGTGCCTTCCAAAACCTGGATCAAGGTAGTTCAGAGAGATAAAGGAGCACACAGGGAAATTTGGGATCGTGGAAGAAACTATAGGCACCTATTCAGGCTAATATTCCTGTCGGTGATACACTGAATAAATGCCTTACCCGATTGTTTTCGGCTGCCCAGAGTAGCAGTTTCTCTGGATTTTTTTCCATCTTTTTCTCTTGCATTTCGTACCATTCCTCACTTCTCTCCTGCTCCTCATCTTCGTCATCCGACTGCCCCGACCAGCAGCTCTGCGTGCCCACGGGAATCAGGTGCCGGTGCGTTTCCAGCAGCTCCAGCTGGTTGAAGCTCTCCGTGTACTCAGCTAGCTCAGTCGCTGTCCTCGTCTCTTTCATCAACATCCTTTTTAGCTGTATCCTTGCTTTTACTCATTTTTAGTTAGCATCTGCAAGGAGCAGAGATATAATAATATTTGTAATAAGTTTTCATGCGCTAATTGAACTCCCCATTAATACTCATGCTTCAAAACACCACATAATCCAATACTACAAACTATACCAGCTGCAGACTGCGTTGGACTAAGCACATATTTCATTACCTAAAGCCATAGGCATTTTATAAACACATAATTTGGACAAAACACTTTATTTTAAAGCAGAATTTCTGCTTTTACCCACAGCCAGCACCACCCCAGCTGCCGCCATTTGCCCCTCACACCCCAGCCCTGCCTTCCAGGCACCACAACCCTCCGGGGACAGCCCAGGGAGGGCCCCAACACCCACCCCAACCCCTCGGAGGCCCGGCTGAACCCAGCAGGAACCCCCCAGCTCCCCTCAACCGCCCCCCGGCTCCCCTCAACCGCCCCCCGGCTCCCCTCAACCGCCCCCCGGCTCCCCCGTCCCTACCCGAGCGCGGCGCCGCCGCCTCCCTCAGCGCACCCAGCCCCGCGGGTCTCCCATCCACGCTCGCGCCCCGCCCGGCCCTGCTTAGCTTCCCCCCGCACCTGCCCCTCCCAGCACGGCCTCCCCGGGGGGCGGGGCTCCGCGCCTACCTGCGCGAGGAGCCCTTCCGGCCCGGCCGGCCAATCGCGCCGCCGAGCGAGCCGCGAAGTCTCGCGAGAGCGGCGCTCGGCGCCATGGAGACGGCGCCAGGCGACCGGGGCCCGCGTTAGGGTGAGGGCCCCCTCGGCTCCTTTCGGCTCCCTTCGGCTCCCTTCGGCTCCCCTCGGCTTTCTTCGGCCCCCGTTCGGCTCCTTTCGGCCCCCCTCTGCTCCCCTTCGGCTCCTTTCGGTTCCCTTCGGCCCTTCTCGGTTCCCCTCAGCCCCCCGGGCCGTGTGAGGTTCCCCTCAGCCCCCCGGGCGGCGAGCCCGACCGTCAGTGTTTAGCGTTTGGGTTTGTTATTTTTTTTAACTAAAACACTGAATGATTGCCAATTCAGCTTGCTGTGCCCTTCCTCCTAACCCGATTGTGTTCTCTCGTCCCTCAGGCTTCGCACGGGATCCGTGGAAACAGAAGGGGACCCCGCGCCCTGCCTCGCTGCGCTGTGCCCGGAGCCCTGTGGTGGGGAGTGCTGGCAGCAAGATGAGCGCCCTCGGCTCGCAGTAAGCTCCTGTCTCTGTCCGGTTCTTCTTTCACATCAGATAACACGGATTTTGTGCACTGTGAATGAGTTAACGGCTCAGACATGGATTTGTGTTTCCCTTCAGGGCCTTCTGAGCATCGTACTTCCCTTTGTATTTTCATAATTACCAGTGCAAGCAGAGAAATGGAATGTTTATTCTCCAAATTAAAGGCAGAAAACCTGCAAAGCTGCTGAGGGTCAGCCTCTTCTCACAGATAACTAGTGATAGGACTAGAGGGAATGGCCTCGAGTCACACCAGGGTAGGTTCAGGTTGGAAATAGTCAGTTGAATATGAGCCAGCAGTGTGCTCAGGTGGCCAAGAAGGCCAACAGCATCCTGGCTTGTATAAGAAGCAGTGTGGCCAGCAGGGCTAGGGAAGTGATCATCCCCCTGTACTCGGCTCTGGTGAGGCCGCACCTCGAGTACTGTGTTCAGTTTTGGGCCCCTCGCTACAAGAAGGACATCGAGGTGCTCGAGAGAGTCCAGAGAAGGGCGACGAAGCTGGTGAGGGGCCTGGAGAACAAGTCTTACAAGGAGTGGCTGAGGGAGCTGGGCTTGTTCAGCCTGGAGAAGAGGAGGCTCAGGAGCGACCTTATCGCTCTCTATAAGTACCTTAAAGGAGGCTGTAGCGAGGTGGGGGTTGGTCTGTTCTCCCACGTGCCTGGTGACAGGACAAGGGGGAATGGGCTAAAGTTGCGCCGGGGTGTTTTAGGTTGGATATTAGGAAGAACTTCTTTACTGAGGGGGTTCTGAGGCATTGGAATGGGCTTGCCAGGGAAGTGTTTGAGTCACCATCCCTGGAGGTCTTTAAAAGATGTTTAGATGTTGAACTTAGAGATATAGTTTAGTGGAGGACTTGTTAGTGTTAGGTCAGAGGTTGGACTCGATGATCTTGAGGTCTCTTCCAACCTAGACAACTCTGTGATTCTGTGAAATGAGGAGATCATTTCTTCTCAGAAAGAGCAGTCAGGCATTGGGACGGGTTGCCCAGGGAGGTGGTGGAGTCACCGTCCCTGGGGATGTTCAAGGAAAGGTTGGATGTAGTGCTTGGGGACATGGTTCAGTGGTGGTAGGCGGATGGTTGGAATTGCTGGTTAGATCTTGAAGGTCTTTTCCAACCTTAATGATTCTCTGATTCCATGATTTAGTTTTTCATTAGATACCTGCAGCCCTTCACTAAAGCAGACTGATCGGGATAATCTCGTTTTGAAACCAGTTTGTTTGGTAGAGTGCCATTTGCAAGTAATGTAGTGAAATGTTTTGAGAGTATTACTGGAAGGATATCTGGACAGAATTTTGTACTAGATCTACTGTGTAATTAATAACTTCGGACAGAACTGCTTATCTTAATAAAGTGTGTTGAAATTGTGAAATATTCTGCTAACAAATTCTCCTGTTTAATTCAGGGATGATGAAGATACCTTTAAAATACTGATTGCTACTGATATTCATCTTGGCTATTTGGAGAAGGACCCAGTGCGTGGAAATGACACATTTGTAACTTTTAATGAAATCTTGGAGCAGGCTCAGAAAAATGAAGTAAGTATTGCTTTTTAGGAAGTAAAGCAGAGAGACTGTGCAAAACCCCTTCCAACCTGCCAGAAACCACAAAACTTAGTTCTGCTACAATCCTTACTACTATCAAACACATTATTGCAACCAGTTACATTTCTAAAAGAAATGCATATTCCTTCATTCAGATACAAACAGATGTAGTGCTTGGAAGGATTCCTTAGTCAAATTATTTGAAATGTTGACTTTGGTATTTTCTATGCTGCTTCAAAAGCTGAGTTGAAACTAGTACCTTCTCAAAGTAATGCAAAGAGAGGCACTGCGTTCATCACCCTTGGTACTGTAGCAATGAGAAGATAAAGCAATTCCTCAGGCCATCAAAGGAAAGGTTCAGGAGCCAATCTAGGGACACTTATTAAAACACTTTGCTGCCTTCTTTAAACACCATCTTATTTTCTCCTATAGCTCTTCATAAATGGTCTATTAAAATATATATTTAACTAAATTATTCTGAAAAATGCGTGTGTATATATAACATTTGTTTCATGAGAAAATGAAATCCTAATATCTCTAGCCACAGACTCATTTTATCTCGAAGTCCAGGTATGAGATATGTGGAACTCCTTAGCAGAATTAATTTAATTGATTAGATTATAGGTCTTCCAAAGTACTTCAAAATGTTGTATTAAAATAATAGAGCTCTTTGTTATATACAGGTGGACTTTGTTTTATTAGGTGGGGACCTCTTTCATGACAACAAACCTTCCAGGAAAACAATACATTCTTGTTTAGAGTCGCTGAGAAAATACTGCATGGGTGATCGTCCTATTCACTTTGAAATTTTGAGTGATCAGGCAGTTAATTTTCAATACAGCAAGTAAGTCCCTTCCTATGAATCATGACACCACGTGTTTTGTTTTCATATGGGGTGAATGTGTTGTGATTTTATTTTGTTTTTAATGCTTTTCCTCTGTGACTGAAACTTTGAAGCTTTAGACTTGCTTACATGGGACAGTTGGTGGGATTGCTTCATATATCATCTTTCACTGTTTAAGTCTATAAATGACTGGACACCGTATATTTGAGAAACTTCTGAATTTCTTGTAATAATTTATATATTTAAGTAAAAAATAGGTTGTATCCTGCAAGTAAACTAACTTAAAGGAACTGTTGTGCTAAAATAAACAGTTTTTCGTGTGTAAATAAAGGCTGCACAACCCAGTCTAAAAATATAAATATATTTGCTACCATGTTCCTGGTAGGAAGTTCCATTCCAGACAATGAATAAGAATCTTCTATGCTGTGGAGCTTAAACTTATACATAGCCACTTGGCAATCATTTGTGCCACTGCCATGTATTTGTGATGACAGTAATTTGAAGAGAATATTGGGAATTATCTGTACATGGATTTGCAGAATAAATCTGCAAAGTTGAATAATTTAACTTTTCTTCTTTTCATTCAGGTTTCCATGGGTGAACTATCAAGATGGAAATCTCAACATTTCTATTCCAATTTTTAGTATTCATGGCAATCACGATGATCCAACAGGGGTAATGTAATTATTATCCTAGTTCTACTGCTGTGTTACATAACCAGTATTGTAGAAATACAGGCTTTTATAGAAATGCAGTTCTTGGCAAACAGGCTAGTTTTAGTCAGTTGCTCCACTCTTTGCATAAATATTTTGTGTTTCTTTAGAAGTCTTGATTAGTGACAACAGCTTAAATGTGGTATTAAAAAGAATTGAAAGAAATTAAGGTATCCATACAGACTATATTTGTGCTCAAAGTATATTAAATCTCAGATTCCATAAACTTTGGTAATTGGGAACAGAATCGCTTCTCATACCAAGAAGTGACAGCCCTTCAGAAAGTTTTGAGAACAAATTGTTTCTATGAAGACTGAAAGCCTTTTTCTTAAGGAAAGGAAATTTTGATACTTGGACTTGTGCTTTGATTGCGTGTACAATTGATATGCGTCTTCAATTGTGTGACCAGTTTATTTTTGAGGAAGATAAACGAATAATAACTGAAATGGTTGTTTGAAAGTAAACATCTACAACTAAGTACAAAAAAAGAACATAGCCTGTTCACAGATTTTTAGATTTGTTTCTTCCTATTTTCCACAGGCAGATGCACTGTGTGCATTGGATATTTTAAGCTGTGCAGGATTGGTGAATCACTTCGGGCGTTCAACTTCTGTGGAGAAAATAGATATTAGCCCCATTTTATTGCGTAAGGGTAGAACAAAAATTGCTCTGTATGGCTTAGGTAAGTGTTCTGCCAGACTGTGGCTCAACTGTTGTGCATTACCAAAGCTTAATAGCTGTGAAATAAGTTGGAACGAACATCCTGTGCTGCAGCAAACACAGATGTCTAAGTAACACTAAATTAAGGTGTATCAGTTTTGGTGAGAGTGTTGCTGCTTAGAAATGCAGCTGTGCCAGCTGTGTCCATAGTCTGTGACTTCAACATGTTAACCTCTTGGTCGTGTGGTTCCACCTTTGTAGGTCCCCTGCCACTTAGCAGTACCTTTTCTTAATTCAGATGTTTTGTAGAATGTCAGGTTTATTCCACTGCTGGATTGTCTCTGGCTTAAAAACATGGAGGAGGTAGCCAGTGACAGATTGTTCAGAGGTGTTGTAGACTTTTTCCTGCTCTGTGGGAAAGCATAGACTTTGTAGAATTCACTGTTTATTTCTTGTTTTCTAGAGAATTTCTAAGGACGTTTAAGAACCCTATCTCAGTGTCTGGTTTTAGAGTCCACCTTATAACAAAATATAGTTCTTATTCAGTCAACAAGAAAAATAAACCTCACATTTTTAATTCTGCCCATAGTGTGTTCAGCACAGAAAACTGATGAGGTTTAAAACTTGATGTAGTTAACAAAACTGCTTTTAGCAGTTATTTAAAGGTGGATTTCATGTTGCAATGTCTTACTTGCAGAATGCTGTCTAGTAAAATAACAAATTTATACTTTATTATGAATTCAAACAGAACAATGCCTTAGACATCTTAGGTCATGAAAATGAAGATTTGTTCTTGCCACAGAGTTGTATTCCCTATGCTCTTTTTTAACAGAGTTGCTAACTAAAATTCTATAAAATAAAGAGTGGCTATATACCTCTTGATATCTGTCAAGAGTTGATAGTTGATATATTTTTGTGTGATACTTATACCACACAACAATGATGTATTGTTTTGTCCACTACAGGAGCCATCCCAGACGAGAGGTTGTACCGTATGTTTGTCAATAAACAGGTAACCATGCTGAGACCAAAGGAAGATGAAGACAGTTGGTTTAACTTGTTTGTGATTCATCAGAACAGGTACCAGTATTGAACGGATTATGGTGACTTAAACTTTCGGGTTTTGTCGTTTGTTTTAATTAAAGTGCCTTGAAAAGCATAGGAGAGAAAGACAGCTACGGTGGCTGGTGCTTCTTGTGAGTAGCAGACTTAAAGATTTTTCCTCAATAAAAGCAATATTTAGAGCTGTTCTTAGAGAAGAATCATCAAGGAAAAGAGTTGAAATAAATGAGTTGGAGATGTTGTGGAAGTTACTTCTCAAACTCTCATAGTTGAGGAGGAAGAAAGAGGGTAGGTAGTGTGATATGTGGATAATTAAGTCTTAAGTCTGCATGTTACAGCTGAAAAAGCAGTAAACTTAACATGCCATTTTCTGTGCTTGATTGAACTATAATTTCATTAGTGCTGTGTCTTCACTTGCATTCATATCCCTTCCAGCGTCTCAGACAGAGGAGAGGTAGTGTGTGTTCTTTCTGCCTGCACACTTCTCCCAGCAGTGTCAGTAGGAACAGGCAGGGTTCTCTTCCAGATTCTGTAATATAATTTTCAATGAAATTTCATGAAGTCCTCATGTGGGAAGTAACGGTGAGGCAGAAGTAAACAAATAGAGCTGGGAACCCTGTGTATTGATCTCTGTCCAGTAGGCTAAAGGAACTCTGTCTTACTTCATTTCCTCCATCTTCTGGAAAGGGATAGAGGGTGGTGTGTCCTATATCTTTTTTTCCCCTCACCATTTAAAAAACAAAACAAATGACATGCTATAAAAGCATTCACATGGAAGATAACTGAAAGCTTTGCAAGCCAGTTAAAAAGAAAAGGGAGGTCCAATGAGGGAGGTAGAAAAGAGTGAGCTTCATTCAGAACAGAAAAAATGCTACTGAAAACCTTCCCTGTGCAAATTAACTAACTTTTTGGCTTAAATCTGTAAGTTGCCTTTTTGTTTACCCAGACACTTCAAAAAATTGCATAGGGAAAAAACCTCGAAGAGTAGCTGATGTGAAATGTATGTCAGCTATTTTTGCTAGAGCTTCTCTATTGCTTTGAATCACGTGGATGGTTTTCACCTCCTTCACTCCCCACCTGTGCTCACCTGTGACTGTACACATTCTAATTATTGTTTTCTTTTCTTTTACAGGAGCAAACATGGAGCCACCAACTACATTCCAGAGCAGTTTTTAGATGACTTTATTAATCTCGTTGTGTGGGGTCATGAACATGAGTGTAAAATAGCTCCAGTCCCAAATGAGCAGCAAAATTTCTATGTTTCTCAGCCGGGAAGTTCGGTGGTGACATCTCTGTCCCCTGGAGAAGCTGTGAAGAAGTGTGTGTGTTTTTATTTATTCTTTTGTTGTTTATCTCTTGCTTTAAGTGTGTTGTGTTCAGAAATATCAAAAGAAAAATAACTTCTCTTAAGCATGAAGGGATTTGTGTTACAGTGTAACAGATTGAATAGGTGCCTGGGATAAGTTTGGTTTACTTAGAACTAAACCAAATGTTTGTAGCAAATGTAACTTATCCAAGAGGGGTCACACCCAGATAATTTGAAATACATGAAATGTGTACATCTACTTGTAAAAAGAACAAACACAATCTGAATATAATGGGATTGAAGTTTGGCAGTGCCAACTCTGAAGTAGATATCTGAGAACTTGCTATAGCTTTTAAGTTTTTGCCCCTGTAACATAAACATTAATTTAAAACACGGTTTTATACTGGAAGATACAAACTTAAAGAGAACTTTCTCCTTGTAGACACATTGGTCTGCTGCATGTTAAAGGGAAAAAAATGAAAATGCACAAGATTCCTTTAGAAACAGTGCGAACTTTCTACATGGAAGATGTTGTCCTCGCTGATCATCCAGATCTTTTTAATCCTGACAATCCCAAAGTAACTCAGGCAATACAGGCATTCTGCATGGAAAAGGTAACTTGTAACGCTTATGGTTTATGGTAACAGCTTGTGGGCATGGAGGGTGAGCTCTGACTGGTTGTGAAAGGGGAAGATAAACCTTATTTCTTGTCCAATGTTATATGAGACTGACTTAAGCAGTGTTTCCACCAGAGGCTAATTCCATGATGTTCACTGCAGCTTTGGCCTCCAGACCAGGATGACCAACTAAAGCAGGCTGTAGCAGCTTTATGGGGGCCCACATCATCTTTCTGTAGAAACTCCTACCTGAAAATGGAACAGTGTTAGATGTGCACTTTGGAACCACCATAAATACATGCACCTAAACCCTGGGAGCTGGGCTGTGCACTGTGAAATGGCCCAAGTAACCAAGGCAATTTCATTGATTGCTCTCAGTTCTTAGGTCTGTATTTGACTCTGTGCTTTTCCCTGGAACTGAACTTGAGCAAAGGATAGTGGCTACAGAGTAAAATAGTATGAATGGTCACTGACGTAGATGCTGCTGGACTAAGCTGTATTTCAAAGATAAGTAAGTTATATTTGAAGGGTTCAGGCATCTTTAGGGTAAAGTGGAACTGAAATCCTCCTTCTGCTTTGTAGGTTGAAATGATGCTGGATAACGCAGAAAGAGAACGCCTAGGAAATCCACGCCAGCCGGACAAGCCTCTCATAAGATTACGAGTAAGACGTTGTTCCATTTGGGTTTTGTTTTGAAAAGTCCCTGTGAAAAGTTTCAAAGCAAAATCATACTTATTGTATAAATACATAAAATTTCTTACTGTATACAGGTAAATTCAAACTGCTTTAATTAACCTGTGATATAACCAACATTGTATGGTAAAGAATGAGATTGTTCATCAGTGTACTTCATTGCTGGTCTGAGTAAGGTGACCAAGATTAATATTTTTTAAGTTATATTGTCCTGTGTTGGTTCCTAACCTAATATATGGAAAGTTTCCTTAAGGATAGTAAATGGAACAAGTTATGGATCTGGGCTCTTATTAGCTATTCTGCATGCTATAGTAAAGTATTAATTTTAGGCTGACTTTTACTTTAATTTTTGCTTCGTAGGATAACAAACTTGCTTGCTTTGTGTGGCTTCTCTTTTTTCTGTTTGTTTCATGTTTTAATTCTTTCAATCCTCCCTTAGGTTGATTATACAGGTGGCTTTGAGCCATTCAGCATCTTTCGTTTTAGCCAGAAGTACGTGGATAAGGTGGCTAATCCCAAAGACATCATACACTTCTTCAGACGTCGTGAGCAAAAAGCGAAAAATGGTAATTTGAAAGGAAGGAATCATTTCCTTTCCTTGATTTTCATTTTTCTTCTGCTGTTCCATTACCTAGCCATTATTAAACCGTGGTGTCTACCACCTAATGTATTACAGGAGGAGTAAAGATATATAGTCCTATTTAAGGGTAAAATACATGTACTGCACAATTATCTCTGTTCTATTCCAAGTGATTCCTGGGTTTGTCTAAAAATTTTGATACTCATCACGGGATCTTTATGATAGTTAATGTTAAATAATTCATTTCTCTTTGGCCTTAAATCTTACTGAGTTGCCTGTAGTCCCATATCAGGCTAAATTATTATGACTATGCTGATTGCCATGAAAGGAATTAAACATCTCACTTCTGGAACTTCTTAGAAGGAGATGGTTGGCTTTGTTTGGTTGGTTGGTTGGTTGGTTGGTTGTTTTTTTTTTGTTTGTTTTTTTCCTATTCTGTGGAAAAAAAGGTAGGTGGTGTTCTTTTGTCTTAATTTTATTATGTAGTAAATAATCTGTTCATTTGCGCCTGAAATGCTAATTGGGGGGATTTGCTTCAGAGTTGATTTAATATTTAAAGAAGTCCAAATCATAGAATCTGATGTGTGGTGCAAATGTACGGCAGCATTTGGTTTGCCCTCATCAGTCGTGTGTTTGAGGTGCTTTTAGCTTTTCAGCATGTTCCAGGTATGTCTCTATTCAAGCATTTTTGCAAAACAAATAATAGCTGTTACTATTGTGCCTCTTCTCACTGTGCCTAGAATTTTTAATAAATGGTTCGTAAATGTTGCCTAATTAGTGGATTTGTAATAGTCACTAATAAAGGTACAGCTTGCACAAGAACATACTGTGCTAATCTAAAGAACTGTTAATATTGCACATTAGTGCATTGTAAGCACTCTGATTCCACTGACAGTTTTTATTTACATTTTGTAAATGTAAATGTCAGTTTTGTAAAGTTCAAAACATGATGGCTCATAAATGGAAACTGCTTTTAGTGAAGGTTTTTTAATTATGCTGCATTGCTCTTGTTTTATTTTGCTTTTTTTTTTTGACGAATTAAAGAACCTCATCAACATTTGCAGAATGCAAAATAGCTCTCTCACCTTCTTTTACCTATACATTTTCATTTCCCTGCTTAATGTGCCATCTCTGCTTCAGGAAGCAAACTTGAAAAGAATGCCATGGTTCTCTGCATTACTTTTTGATAACTTCTACAAGTTAGGTGGCAGTCTTCTGTTATTCCTACCTTGTTTCCTGGGAGTGCAGGGCACCCTCATTGAGCCATGAACCTTTTCTACTCAAAATCAGCCAGCACGCTTTGGAGGACAGTTTCTTCCCTAGTAACAGAGTTACTCATAAAAAGTCCCTTGTGCTTTGATGCATTTTAGTTCTCTTCCTGTTGTGATCTTCCAGAGTTTACTTATAATAACCTTCAGGATGTAGCATTCAGCTTCTTATTCTAGACATTCAGTAGTTAGAAGATCCTTTTGTATCTACTAGTGATGTAGTTGTCTTGTACAACTGTTGTATCTGCTAAGTTTACCTGTTTGCATACAATAGTGTATTGTTTGAATAATAAGCCTTTACATATAAAACGGACCATGGTTGTTAAGCGGCCTGTATTAATCTTTTTTCCTATTATTTTCAGTGGGATAATAAATTGACCTGGTTTCAGTTAGGACAGAGTTAATTTTCCTCCTAGTAGCTGGCAGGGTGCTATGTTTTGGCTTCGGATGAGAAGAGTGCTGATAAGGTGCTGATGTTTTAATTGTTGCAGAGCAGTGCTTACACCAAGCCAAGGACTTTTCAGCTTCTCGCTCTGTCCTGCCAGCGGGCAGGCTGGGGGTGCAGCAAGAGCTGGGAGGGGACAGACTCAGGACAGGTGACCCAAACTAGCCAAAGGGGTATTCCATACCATCTGACGTCATGCTAAACAATATATAGGGGTGGCTAGCTGGGGGGAGGGGGCCGGACTGCTCGGGGTTAGGCTGGGCATCGGTCAGCGAGTGGTGAGCAATTGCATTGTGCATCACTTGTTTGTACATATTATTAGTAGTAGTACTATTATCACCATTGTATTATTATTATTGTTGTTGTTGTTGTTGTTGTTGTTATTTTCCTGTCTTATTAAACTGTCTTTATCTCAACTCACGGGCTTCACTTTCCATTTCTCTCCCCCGTCCCAGAGAGGGAGGGGGAGGGGGAGCGAACGGCTGTGTGGTGTTTAGCTGCCGGCCGGCTTAAACCACAACACGAATACAAGCTGGAAACTCCTACATGAATGATGGCTAACAGTGTCACTATGCTTTTCTGTTTTAGACAGCAATATTAATTTTGGAGACCTGGTCAGCAGACCTGTTTCTGAGGGGATGACACTGAGGGTGGAAGACCTTGTAAAGCAGTATTTTCAGACAGCAGAGAAGGTTGTACCTTGTACCTTTTATGAATTTCCTACTTAATTATATGTGTATTCCTGGGTAAAATATATGCCTTAGGTTAACAAGTAATTGTTGTATACAAAGTATGTAGGATATGTGAACATAAGCTGTTTTGATAACATTTGGTAACTCTTCATGTTACTTGCAGTGCCTGCACTGCACCAATGGATGCCTCCTGTTGTCACAGGAGGAAAGCGTGAGGCAGCATGCTCTGAGAAGCTACCTTCATTTACTGTGGGGTGAATGTGAGGCCACACCAGTTACTTTTACCAATTTGGAATGGTTTGTTACCTTGCAAATCATATTTGCATTGTCAGGCATAGTGCAGTTCGGCGTTAAAGCAGAGCAGGGAGGACAAAGAGAGTACCTGATAGTTTGCTTTCTTCCCACTCTTTTGTTAAACCTGATTTATTCCTTATTCCTATCTGCAGGGCTGAAAAGTCTCAGAGGTAAAAAAAATAATTATCAGTGAGTCAGTCACCCAAATGCTTGATCTGGATGATCAAGCATAACTTTCAGAAGCTACTTCAGAACATGCTTTATAGAAGGTTATTAGAACATGGAAGGATTCCTGAGGTAAAGATCCCTAACACACATTAGGGGCCTTTATTAGGATGGCAAAAATTATGCCCTGGAAGGGCTACTTGCCTTTTGAATATGACAGGGAACGTAACCCAGGGTGAGTAGTGTAGAAGTAGGTGCTACTTCAAATGTAAGCCATTCCTTAATCCCATGGGGAGGAGAAGCAGGGTCAAACATGGGGTACTGTTCTTGTATCTGTGAAAAATAAGTTTGATTTTAATTTATTTGCCTCCTTTACTCCACAAAAATTGTCCCTCTTACACCATTCAGCACTTATGAAGACTTGAAAGAATCCGTCAGTGTTCCAGGAAGGCTTGCAGTAGGGAGATAATAAAATCTAAGTTCACATTGGTAATAAAGGAAGGTGGGGGTGAAGTAGTTGTTGCCCCAGAGTGATTTTAGGGGTCTTAAACTTTGTGTTAGGATAGCCTGTGCTTCAGGCTTTGTAGGCACCTGATCTTGTCTTGCTGAAAGTCACTGTTAACAGTCTGCGTCATTACAGTCAGTCTCTCTTCTGAGATGCCTGCATTACTCTTTTGTAAACTTATTTTATAATAGCTTTAAAATTTATTCCCCTGTTATACATCATTTCAGGGAAGGTTTTACACTTCTGATTAAACTGACAATGCAGTTCCTTAAGGACACATGGAAGGATCAAACATCATTAAGAAGCATATACAGTGCTTATTACCAAGAAGTTATCTAACAGACAAAAGAAACTGCTATTTCAACTATCCGTATGGGGTTTCTTTCCAGAATGTCTCTTACTGTAACGGGGAGCAGCGGGGAGTAAATGTAGAGAAGAGAGCAGCTTTGAAACACCACTAGTAGCTTCTGGTACTTTTACTAATTAGTGTCTCTGGTAATGTCTTGATGTAGAGAATTTTGATGAATATCATCTGACTTAATGAATGAGTGAGGACTATTGGTATTTAGAGAACTTGATTTCAACAGAGAGTTTTCTCCTTAGTAGCTCTTAATGCTTCATAATAATTTGTCCAGCTCTGTAACTGCCAATTTTTATTCTTAGCATGTTATAGTAAAAATAAATAATTTTGCATTTGTAATAATTCAGTGCCTGTTTTTAATAGCTTGTTACGTCTTTGCAAGTCTGTCCTAGTTTAGTTTATAAAAGGAGGTTGGACTAAGAAAAAATAGATTGCCTTCTCTCTCGGTAATATGTTTCAGACAAATTAATTTAGGTATGACTAGCATCATCATCCATCGTTTCTTTACTGTTTATGAAATGTTTTTTCTTTGACTAATCTGAAAATGCTCTGCTAAGTTAGGTGTAGCACACGAGTAACAAGAGAGTTGTAACTCTATTATGAGGAGTAACATTTGCTTATTGCTGTGCTATTTTCTGATTGAAATCTTAAATGCAGGTTACTTGTTTTGAAACCAACCAAATGTACTATTTAGCTAGAAAAGCAGGAATGTTTCTCACATGCTTTGATGGCAGATGCTTGTTAACAAACTGTTTTCCCCTTTTATAAAGAAAGTACAGCTTTCACTTCTGACGGAAAGAGGAATGGGAGAAGCAGTGCAGGAGTTTGTGGACAAAGAGGAGAAAGATGCTATAGAAGAGCTTGTGAAATTTCAACTAGAAAAAACACAAAGGTATCTTAAGGAGCGTCACATCGATGCAGTGGAAGAAAAAATAGATGAGGAGGTAATGTTCTGTTACTTTTAACTCTTCAGAAAAGACAGATGGTAGAGAAGTTGGTGCACAAAGCTGGTTTAATAGCTTTGCCTGCGTGAAGGGCACGTGACACTTGCCTCTCGTCATTTTCTGGAATGAGTATGGTAAAATTACAGATGCATATTTTAAAAGCTTGTGTTAGAAGTGTGTTTTATGGTATCCTTATAGTGAGTCTCGCTTTATTTGTGCATGCATAAATCAAAAAACATGTTGCTAATGTACATAGAACTTGCTCTCTGGCTGTGTGCAAGCACGTACTCATATGTGCTATTTCACTGCTGCAGTAAGTAATGGTAGATGAAAAAGGAAAACATAAATCAATCCCTTCATTTCTTGAAGGGCTGGGACTACACTGACCACTTATCTCTAGTGTGAGGAAAGAGAGAAGATTTAATCTGTTTTTCATATTGTCTGGGAGAAAGTACACAAACAGCACAACCATAAAGGAAACATACTTCAGGTGCTTTGCTGCTTTATAACTGCTTGCAGCTTGTGGTCTCTCAGAGCCAGGCCTGGTGTTTGTGTAGCTAGTAGCCCCTAATAAACTTCTCTGACAACTTGTGGAATTTCCTTGTAGGCTAATATTCAAGTGGGGTAGGACAGGGCAGTCTGCAGTGTAACTGCAATGGTTTTGCACCAATAATTTGGTGGGGAACTGAGAGGAGGAATGTTCTGCCCATCTGTTTTCTAACTGGTTGCTCTAATTCATGAGGGGTCTAGAGACAATAGTCAGCACCTGTAGGTTTTTGGTGCCACTTTTGTGTTGGTTTTTTATTTATTTATTTATTTATTTATTTACTTACTTACTTACTTATTTATTTATTTTTCTTCTGATCTAATATCTTCTTTCCCTCTGCTGTGAGTTATCTCCGGCAGGCAGTTAGGCAACCACACAGCTGCTCACTTTTCCCTTCTCTGGGATGGGAAGAGAACTGGAAAGCAGCAGAAGCAGAAAATACCTTGATTGTGTGTAAGCACTGTTCTGCAATAACTAAAACATAGGTGTGTTATCAACACTGTTTTCATCAGAAATCAAAAACATAGCACCATAATCTAAATAAAATTAACTCTACCCCAGCAAAAAACAGTATACAATCTCACCCATTGTATCTTTTCTGTACTTGGCAAGTCAAGCTGTCTTAGTTGTACATACATGGCAGTGTTTCTCTTGATATCATTGCTTTCTAACTTGCTTCTTCATCCCTACCCTGTCTTTACAGTTACTCGTGTTTCACTGTCCCTTACTGTCTAGTTACTCTGTTTCCCCTGAACGTGGTATTTCATGTGCCAACTTCCTTCTTTCCAGTGGTGTAGTTACAGGAGACTTACTAACAGAATGTGAGATTCTGAAACTGTAGCATCACCCATAAGGTGGTTAGCGTGAAAAGGCTGTAAACAAACTTCAGTTGTTCTTGAACTCTTGCTCTCTCACACGAGATTGACTTTAATTCAGAGATCAAGGCTTAGTGTTTTGGTTATTATGTGAAATGAACTGTTATTTTGATGGGAACTTTTCTTTACTCAGGTGAGAAAATTTAGGGAGTGTAGAAGAAAAAATGCCGAAGAGGAGGACGAGGAAGTTCGTGAGGTAACTCCTTTGGGTTTTGGACATAGATTGAAGAACAGAGTAGTGACTTTTACATATGAATGAAATGACTGACAACATCATCCATGCCCAAAATTGTCTGTCTGATTGGGGCAGATTAGAATTTTTCTCAAAATCATTTTTATGATTTTGTGTAATGTGTGCTTAAGCTACTGCTCGATTTGGCCTTTGAAATCTCTTTTCCCGTAGAAATTTGTGAACCTGAAGGCTCAGTTGCCCTTGCTTTGAACCAGGTGGCTGGCCTTCTGAGCTCTGTCGGCCTAAACTGTGAGCCCATGACCAGGATGGGAGTGATGTTAATGGAAGAAATTGGTACTATTGGTGAACCTGGTGGTGCTGTCGTCCTTATCAGCAAGCCAGATTGTAGATATCCCTGAGATTTGTATCTAGATGTCATATGCCTTTGCAAAGAGTTCTCCAGCACTTATTGTTGCATTTCAGGCAATGACCAGGGCTAGAGCTCACAGATCTGAAGACGCAGTTCTTGTGTCAGCCTCCAGCGATGAAGAGCTCATGGATACAGGAGCGAAGGCCTATGGTGATTCAGATGATGACCTTCCTGCAACAGCGACTCGAGGGAGGGGTCGGGGGAGAGGTAGGGCAAGAGGTGCAAGAGGACAAAATTCAACAGTAAGAGGGTCGTCTCGAAGGGGAAGAGGTAAGAAAAAAATGAAATTATTTGCATTGTAGTTGCTAACTTTTTTTTCCCCTTAAAAGGGAACTCGTCTGTTGCTTAAGAACTCCTCTTGGAAAAACAAAATTCTCAAATATTTTTGGTACTGTATGATATACAGTTGACTGCCTTCCAAGGCCTAAGTTGTGACATTTTCACAGTGTGACTGAACTAAAATTATCTTTCTTTACAGCTGTGGAAACATAGTAGGCTCATAAGAGATCTATTATTGGGAGGTCTGTGCTATGAAGTGCGTGGATAGATCTTTGTTGCTGCTAATAATATGCAACATAATGTATCTTGTCAATTAGAGGGGATGTGATGTACAGATTGTCTCTGTCTTAATACAGCTTACAAGAGACTTTATTATTGCTGGTGATTGAAAAAATGGGGTGTGTTTCTTAAGCTAAACGAATTAAAATGCTCCTTGGCTATGTGTGATTGTGTATGTTATGGTGATAGCAGTACTTCGGTTATGGCAGCCTATTAAATATAAAAATTTAATATAAATATTACATCACACAGGAAGGGGGAAGAAACTTTACAGGGGAAAAAAAAAAAGAGCACTGAGTAGATTTGCATGGTGTTTATTGTTCCTACAGGAAACACTAGCCAAGAGTCAGCTACTAGCAGCAGAACCTACAAGTCTGTCCCTGCCAAGAACAAGTCGATCCTGGATGGTAGGCCTGTGTTCTGCCCATTACTCTAATCTGCTCTCATATTGTAATGAAGGTGTTTAAAGGTGAAGTGCTGTAATTGTCTTTATTTCTCTTAGTCCAATTCAACTGGGAGAGATTACCTTATTTCATTAGAAACAAAATTAACTAACAGTGGTGAGAGAAAGAAAAGAGTAGTTAGGTCCTGCTGTCACTGGCGGTAAAATGAAATGTGCTGGGAATATCTGACTGCATTTGGGAATAGACAACATATTTCTGTGTACTATATGCATATATTTTTTTTAAATGAACATGGAAGGAATGTGACTTAAATCATCCTTTCTATGCAGAATATTTTCAGTGGTTAAAAAGCTTAAACTTGCCTGATGTTTACACATTTAGTAAGCTTTAAGAAAAATGCATTTAGTCTTCTATTGTAGCAGGTTTTAGAAACACCAGCTTGTAGTAGGGAAGAATAACATATCTGCAATTTAAGCCAGGTATGTGAGAGCAGCCCTTCCTTGCTACAGAGGACAGGCTCTGAGGAAACACCTAATCTGAGTGTTACAGGGAAAAAATACATACTGCTCATATATTCATACATGAATCCCACACAGAATACCTAAAGGTATACCCAAAAGTTATGTTTAAATTAATCAGACTCTCAGCAAATGACCTGCACATAAATCAGCTTTAGCAGGTGTGTTAATGTGTGAACTAAATGTTAGACAAAGAGGAATCCCAGTAACAGTAATCTATTTTCTTTGTTGTAATGAATGCTGCTGATACTTTTTCAGCCAGACTGGGAAGCACCTGGAGCTGCACAGAGGGTTAGATCTGGGTTGTCAGACTCTAGCCAGGACCTAACTTACACTTTATCTGCCAAGGACCTTTGCTTGTCTTGGTTTGGGGATTGTTTGCTTGTTTTACTTTTTTTTTTTTTTTTTTCCTCCAGAGGAAACAAATGCTAAGCAGATTTTCTTTAATGAAGATGATGATGTAACATGTTGCATTTTATTATGTAAGCACTTTGTAAATACTACATTTATTTTATTGTAGCCTTTAAGCCTTTGAAAACAGAGCCCTTCCAGAATTCATCTAAATCTTTCTCTGAGGTAAGAAGTGTCTCGGCAGGAGTGAAGCTACACAACTACTGCCTTCTGCTCTCTTCTCATTTGAAAAATAAATGCATGGACAAAATGTTAGCCCAGCCCAGTAGAAGTTCCCAAGCTATCGGTTCCAGCAGTGAAGTTCTGCATGCTAATTTGTAGACCCTTCTTTTGGTGCAGGGCCTATTTGAGAAATACAAAGACCATACTCTACTTCTGACCATAGCCTAAGGTACAAAGAGAATATACATGAGTGGTTTTGGGGTTTTTACAATATCAAATGTTTGTTTGCACATTATAGTTATATTCTGAAGCCCTCTCAAGTGTATATTATAATTAAGTAGTAACTTTAAAAAAAAAATAAAAATGAACTGTATAGCTACATGATAGTACTACAGAATTATGTAACTGTGTTTTTGAAAAAGTTCTGTGAAAAAGCTTTAAAAATGGTATCTGTTTTTCAGGATATTATAGATGATGACTCAGATCTGGAAGACATTTGTATCACTCCTTCTTCCAAAGTAAATCAAAGGTTTGTATGTTTATTTGGTCCGTGCTATCACAACTGCCTTATTTCTAATTGGTAATTGACAGAATTTAGAGATCTGATATACTGCCTAAAGAAATAGATACATATTATTTTAATTCTTAACATTACTTACAGAATTTATGTAATTTTTTTTGCCTGTGAGTAATCTTCATATAACAGTAAGTTGGTCTAGTGACAGAGGTAAGCTAGGTAAAAGTATCAGGATTTGTATGGTAGTTTGAGAATTTGAATCGTTAACCCCTTTATTTTTTTTTTTAGTATCAAACTCCATATTGATGGTCCAAATCTAAGTCGAAGGGAAATTTATTTAAAATGTCTGGTATTTGAGAACATGCTGATATTTTTTTTTGTCTTTATGTTTCAAGGTTCTCAACTACATCTTCATTTAGTAAAAGGGGTTCACAAAGCCAAACAACATCAAGAGGAGTTGATTTTGAGTCTGATGAGGTATGGTATACAGTAGCCTTTTTTCATGCGTGTATATCTGAATTTCTATAGCTTATTTTTTTGAAGCCATTTAAACAAAACATTTCCAAGTAAAATTATTATATTTATTTTTTCCTATCAGGACTAGATTGCTTTAATTAAATCTATACATAATCATCAAAAATAAGGCTAAAAGGGACCCCAGGAAAATATCTAGTCTTTTTTGCCTTCAGTTCTTAATCAGTTAATTGTCATTCCCGAAATGTTTTCAGTAAGTTAGATTGACTGGGGAAGAAGTAGTTGTAATCTCTTCTAGTACATGACCTTGTCCTTTCATTTATTTTGTTTTACCCTTTTGAAAAGGAAGACTTTTATGATTTTTGCATTTAAAAATGGCTGTTTTTCAGGGCTCTTAACTGCCTTATTGTTGCATGTTATGAAAATACACTTTATAAAAAAATGTCACTACTGTCTTAAGGTTTAAAAAGTCTGTTCTTGCAGTACATATTTCAACTGCTAGGAAGAGCTTTTTTTTCCATAAATAAATGAGTACGTCTATTCACAGCTTTGCACCGAATACACATTATGTTGTCAAGCAGTGTGCTATCATAGCAGACTGTCAGGTACAGTGAGGTTCACACCCTTAACGATGTCAGTGACCACTTCAGAGATGATGTGTTCTTATTCTTCTGCCCGCTGTGCTGTCTCTTGTCCTTGTACCTGGAGTACGAATTTGTGTTTGCTTGAACATGCAAGAAGAAACATTATTTTTGATTCACGCAAATGTCAGTGAACCATGATGTCTGTTATATGTACATAGATAAAACTTGACTGAAGTATATGCTCCTCATAATGATAACACTTTTCGAGGTCACACCTGCAGTATAGGTTGCTTCACACTTCACAGCAACTATTCTGACCATTCTGACCTAAGCTCAATTTCTGTTTTCTGCACGTTTGTTTCTTAGACTTTTAAATTGATATCTCCTTGATATCATCTCCTTGATACCAAAAACAATAAAAACACGTTTGTCAGAAAACATAAAATCAAGTGACCTGGCTTTCTAGTTTAATCTAAAGGTAACTTTGCTTTTTATGACTTGGAATCCATCTTACTTGTAGTAATGCCAATCTGTTTACAAATTGCAGGATGATCCATTCCAGAGCGCTGTGACATCACGAAGAAACAGATGATTGCTGCTTCAGTGTAGAGGAGAGACCATGAAAGTTAGTGAAGAAAATGGAAAGTAGTATGCAGGGTGTACTCCATATGACATTTCTCTGTAAATGATGGTCTGCCTTCGATCTTCACTTGTATGAAATGTTTTGGTTTTGTTTCAGTGGCACCAAATTTAGTATAATTTGGGTGTTATGTTACTTTTAGGGCATTAGACTAGAACATCTAATATTCTGAAGTATTGCCTGAAACTAAATTTTTTCTAAAACTTCTAACAACTTGTTTTCTTTTTGTGAGGAAAATGTAAATAACATAATGGTATAATTTGTACAAAACTCCCTTGGACTTGATTTTTTTCATAGCTGTGAACCTTTAGCAGTATACAAGTACGGATATGGGCATGGACTCAGCCAGCAAAACAAAAGTTGTATTTAATTCCAGTTTTCTACAGTTACAGATGAAAACTCTGAAGAGTAATATTTTAATCCAAAGTTACAGTTTCCAGTAATAAAGCTGGAAAATGTTCTAATGCTTCCAACTTAATGGTGGGTTTGGTTTTCCTGTTACACTGTTATTAAACGTCATAGCATGCAGGAATGATTTCTGCTCTATAATTCAAGAACTGCCAAAGAATTCAGATAGAATTGCTTTGTTAGTGTTTACCCTCTTAATAAGATGTAAGAGCTAGAACCTTACAGCTTCACAAGGAATATTGCTTGAATAAAGCAACGAACCAGTAACAGGCAAGCTGCTGCCTCTTAACAGTTTTCTTTGCTGATGTTTTTCAGGTATTTTGCCTTAGCCATCCTAAAATGTCATCACTGTTTTTCCAAATGTTTCTCCAAATGAGGCTTTTAAGAGAAGATCCTGTACTCACACTGGGGGAACCACACCTTCTTTTGAAGGAGCCAAGACCTAGACACACCTCTCCTTCCCCCTTTTCCCACTCCCCTAAAAAGGGTGTTCTGCAGCTACAGCCTTTAGAGCTAATTGAGGGAAAGGCTAAAGTGTTCATCAGCTTAACACCCCAGCATGTCAGAGAAATACCAAATACAGTGGGTAACTGAAGCCATACTTCTGCATTTTTATGTTCTCCATCAAAGAGATGGCAGTGGGCATTTATGTTGCTCTGGCTTTTGCTGAGCATGACTGTCGTTACTTGTCTGCATAAATGCCATAGCAGTGCACCTAAAAGGTCCTTGAGCTTCCTGAAGATTTCCATAAAAATAATCAAGACCATCAAATTTCTAGTGTAGAGCTCAGTAACAACTTCCAAAGCTGTACAGCTGCATAATGCATCTGGAAATAACTTGGTGTCTTGACCCTTCGTTGAGGGGTATCAAAACTCTTATAAAATTACCTATGCAATTAAAAAAGCTGCTGTAAGTGCCCTCGAGAATGGGGGTTGTGAGTTTTGTTTCTTTTTTAATAAAACTATTTCTGTTAAGTAAATTCTGAATGTCAATTGTATGGAGTACTTTAATCTAAGGGACTGAGTTTTTAAAAATGTTTTGGTTCATGTTGCTGTCCAAATTAAAGTTGTTTTGTTACTGAAAGAAAAAAAAATAAATCATCCTGTTTAAAATTCTTAAGGAGATTCGAAGATACAGAAGTATTTCTGTACTGTAAAAATATCTTACTCCTAATCATCCATGTGATTTTCTTTCATAAGACGCACAGAAAATACTGCTAATTCTCAGAGATCCCACTGGATACTCTTTGAGAAGTCATTTCTCCCTCATGCAAACTTCCAATCCGCCTGCCCAAGGAAAGCTCAAATGTTTAGCAGAGCTACGGTCAATCAAAGGTTGTTTCCTTGGAAATGGGGTGCAGAGTGCACAGTGTGCAATTTGGCTTTTTAAATATTCCTTTTCTTGAATGTTTCCAAATTGCATTTTGTAGTTTGGGTGTTTTTTTTTCATACTTCTGTTACAGCTGTTTTTTCTATGCCTATTTTCCTAAATCACAGCTTCAGTGGAGAGAGCTGTCAAACAGATGCTTAGGATGACTCGGATTATCTGAAATCTTGAACTGTATAGCTTTATTTCAAGTGCTTTCCAAATACTTTTTATTTTACAAAGTACTTCAGTTCACTTCACAGATGTCTTCTACAAAAAATAAATACATCTTTTTATATATCATTAAATCATGCCGTTCCTGTACAGCTACTTCCTTTTGCCCTCAGTGGATGACAGCTGGGGATGGCAGTGCATGGTGAAATCAGCAGAAGCAGGTGCCGAGCTGTGTTCTGCTGCTTCCCTCACAGCTACTACAGCCTTTTCTCTCACAGGCCATGAGCAGCTTGTGTGCAAATGTCCAAAACTAATGGAGCATCTGTTCCTGCACAAGCAGGTGCTGCTTGTGGTGGGCCTGTTGCTGAGCCGATTTCTCTAATCACATCTTCATACACGGGTAGTTTGTGAAGGCTGAGCCCGCTTCATCCTGCTTTTTTTACAAAAAGAAATATAACCAATGTTTTGTTTTTGTTGTAGGCTTATAAAAACTTTTCTGCAAGACTGATTTGCTAGGTGAAGTATTTCAATCGCATCAGGAAACAATAGTGGTATAATACAGGGTTGCCTTTTTTTTTTTTAGCCAATTGTATCTTGTGTGAAATGGAAGCTATTGCAATTTCTGTAGCATGTCTTTGTTTCGAAACAGTTAATAGCTTCAACCAGCACTCTGTCCTAGATCTGTCTGATCATGAGTCTGGTGCTGGTGGGTTGTTTTGGGGTTTTCATTGTTTTTAGCTTTGGTTTTTGTTTGTTTCTCAGAGACCAGGTAAGAACTTTCAAAACTTCTGAATGCTTCGAAAGGGAAATACCACACCCTGCTGTGATCCTTCCTTACCTTCCCAGAAAGACAGAAAATAAAGCAGTAGCTACATCAGTAAATGTTTGTTACTTGTGGATTGAGCTAGAAGAGTTCTGAGGATGCTCATGCCGTAGCATGTTTTGCTTTGAAAGTTTTATATGGCTTTTTAACTCCTGAAATTGTTAAAAGGAAACAAACACGTAAACACAAATTTCTGTTAAGATTTTCCTTTTAGACAGAGGCACAAGTTCTGGAGGGATGAAGGTTTTGTTCTCCCCTAACACATCCCTTGACATACTGACAGCCAGTTGTCCTGGTGAAGTTTGGAGACAAAGCAGATGAGCTCCTGAGGAGGTCTTGACAGGTAGGTTGTCAGGAACGCTCCCGGCTGTCAGCCTGCAGGAGCAGTGCTGCTCTGTACCTCCAGCCTGCCTTCTGCTTAATAAAGGAAATCATTGCAGGCGATGCTATCAACCTCTAATCATCTGGCAAATATGCAAATTACTTAAATGAGTCTTATCTCTGAGAGAACAGCTGTACCTGCATTTCCTGCCTTCAAAACATAATAAATAAAAATCAGCTTGAGAACTAGAAAAAAAAAACATCTAAGGCAGAGTAGGCTTTTTGAGCAAAGGTGGAAGCCAGCGCCTTTTGCATGTACAGCACGCTTTGGGATCGGAAAGGTGGCTGCAGAAAAAGACAGAAGGACCAAGACCTTCGTGTCGCACTGTGAGGGGATTTGTGTTTCCCTGGCAGCATCAAGGGGCATTCAGCTGGCTGCCACCTTCAGCGCTCTGCTACGGGTGGGTATTTCTGAGCGGGACAATTACAGAAAGAGCTCCTCCTGGGCAGCTTTTTGGCAGTGACTGATGCTGGCAGCAGCTTGCAGGGGAGCTCTGGGGATGGGACGTGGCACCTGCCCAGCTCTGTTGGCCTCCTGAGGGGTGGTGAGGAGAAAAACCACCTGGATTAGGTTGCTGTGGGATCCTGGGCTGTGAATGAATGGCTAAATAAAGCATCGTGCATATAAAACCTGCTCTGGCTGGGGTTAGTTGGCACCATCCCAGCAGATTTTTCCCCAGCTGTCCCATTTCAGCGTGCCAGCTCTGGTAGGGCAGGTTTGTAATCCCTGAAGCCTTAAGCCAGGGAAAATTTAGATCAGTGGGGCAGCACCTTGCACACGTGTGTATTTTCACCAGCATGGATGCGTGTGCTTCTCTGTGGTGCTCAGGGCTTATTCCTTTGGCCAAGAGGAAATCCCAGCCAACAGATTTAAATATTCCCCTCCGAGGGGAAAAAACCCTTCGGAAAAATGCCGTGAGTACAGTGCAAGCAGTGTACGTACACAGATTTCCTCTGTTCTGTGCTGGTTTGTGACTGCTGAGCTGTGCCACAGCCTGCAACTCGCCTGTCGCTCCTTTCAAGCCGAACTTCACTTTGAAACCAGTCCTGGAAGGCAGCAGGGCTGCTGCTTGCACCGCTGCTCACGAACAGCACCGGAGCAGCACGAGCAGGGCTGCCGGGAGCGAAAAAGGCTGCTGAGGACCGCAGAGGCTGGCATTGCCTTTCACGCGGAGTGCTGGGGGTGTAATCGCACGGCACAGCAGCGCGTCAGAGCCGGGGCGATGCTACGCAGCCCGGTGGGCAGGCAAGCGGGCAGTGAGCTTCTGCGAGAGCACAGAGCCTGCTGGAGCAGCAAAAGTGGCGAGGAGCCGAGCAGGAGAGGAGCCCTGGTGCATGGCGAGCCTCCCCGCCACAGCACGGGCTGCAAACGGGGCAGATCCCAGGCAGCACGCAGCATCTCCTCGGGGATGTTGTCCCTTTTCGTCTCTCTCTCCCTCCCCTACTTCATTAATGCCTTCACAACCTCGGGGAAGTTGCCCTTCAACAGAAGCCTGGAGGAGTCTTTGGGTATCCCGACCGCTTTGGATTCATTTCCCTGGGATAACGAGACGCTGGCGGGCTGGCAGACCCTCGTGGGCAGGAGCCGGCACAGGGTGGACACACAGCACGTGGCGGCCAAAGCCCTGCTGGTCGCGGCGTACTCCGTCATCATCGTCATCTCTCTCTTCGGCAACGTCCTCGTCTGCCACGTCGGCGTCAAGAGCAGGCGCCTGCGGTCCGCCACCAGCTTGTTCATCGTCAACTTGGCCGTGGCCGACATCATGATCACGCTTCTCAACACGCCTTTCACGCTGGTAAGGCGGGGGCAGAGGCTTCCCCCGGTCCTTCTCTGGGGGAGGGATGCGGCAGCAGTGGGGACAGGAGGTGGCTGGAGTGATTGTCATCACTTCGGTGGCTTCAATAATCTGAAAATTACCTGAGACAGAAAGAACCTGCTGGCTTTAAAGCATCTTTTGCACGGCAGAAATCATCTGTGCCAGAGGTGGCTCGGTGGATGTATACATGTGCATATATCTGATATATATCACAGATATATAAGCGTGTGGGGGTGTGCATGACTGCTAATGACATTCTGGTTCCAGGCTCGCTTCGTGAACAGCTCGTGGGTATTCGGGAAGGGGATGTGCCACGTCAGCCGGTTTGCCCAGTACTGCTCCCTCCACGTCTCTGCCTTGACCCTCACGGCCATCGCCGTGGACAGGCACCAGGTGAGAGCCCGCTGAGGCAGGCGGACAGAAAGGATGGGACCAGGTTCTGCTTTTACCCATTTCAGTGGAAATTATTTCAGGCTTTCACGCACAGCTTGCAGTCAGTGGGAGCTGGGTGAGGACAGCACGGTTTGCATGCTAGATTTCCGTGTCTAGTAATAGGCATAAGGCTGGAAGTTAATATGGAAAAATGATACAATTATTCCCTGGAATGGCATAAGCCTGAATATTGGTGTATTTCAAACAGGTTATCATGCACCCTCTGAAGCCTCGCATATCTACTGCAAAAGGTGTTATCTACATCTCCATAATTTGGGTCATGGCGGCTTGTTTTTCCCTCCCACATGCCATCTACCAAAAACTCTTTACTTTTGAATACAGGTAAGGATGTTCTTTGCTTTTCCTCTGAGGTCTCATTAAATGCAAAGTTCCCACTGGCATCTTCTACTAAAAGCCCTGAGCTCATGTTGAAGTCACCAAGGTGCAGATCTAGTCTGTAATTTACATCAGTTTCCTTTTGCGGTGGCTAACATCCTCTTCTCATTTCTATATATATATTTAATCTTTATTCTGTCCCTCTAATCCGACAAAATAGGGTACAAAGGTAGAGGATATGGCCTGCCCATTCTATTTCTCCACATTGGCATTTTACACGATGTACCAATCTGTTTGGGCAGCCCAGGAATGGGGGAAAACTTGACAGGTTTTAATCAACTCCTGATCCTTGGGAAAGGGACAGCCTCAGCTGCTTGTTCCTAAAATGCAGTTGTGAGCAGAGGAATTTGTAAAGTGCTTTAAGAAATCCTTTATATGAGCAGAGTCTGTGTTTCTGTTCACCGCAGGACAGAGCTTCAGTGCAGCTGGAAATCTTGTAATTAATGCAGTTCATTAAATTACCATAATGTCACGGATGCCCATGAGTATTTACCACCGCGCTGCTCACCGGCTGCACCATGGCTCAAATCCTCGGACAACAGAGCCCTGCTTAGCACTGACAAATGTGCATGAATGAAGGGTTTGCCCACAGGTTCTGCTGCTTGAGCCCTCTCCCTCCTAGCTCCTTGCTTTTGGGGTGCCTCTCCTGCTGTTCCTGGCTCTACACGCTCATCCCTTGCCCTGTATTTGCCTCCTTACAGTGAGGACGTTACCAGGTGCCTGTGTCTCCCGGATTTCCCTGAGCCAGCCGACCTCTTTTGGAAGTACCTCGACCTGACCACCTTCATTTTGCTCTACGTCCTGCCCCTGGTGATCATCTCGGCCGCCTACGTGACGGTGGCCAAGAAGCTCTGGCTGCGCAACGCCATCGGGGATGTCACCACCGAGCAGTACTTCGCCCTTCGCAGGAAGAACAAGAAGACCATCAAGATGCTGATGCTCGTGGTCGTCCTCTTTGCCGTCTGCTGGTTTCCCTTAAACTGCTACGTCGTCCTCCTCTCCAGCCAGACCATCCGCACCAACAACGCCCTCTACTTCGCCTTTCACTGGCTTGCGATGAGCAGCACCTGCTACAACCCCTTCATCTACTGCTGGCTCAACGACAGTTTCCGATCGGAGCTGAAGGCTTTGCTCCACATCTGCAGAAAACCTCCTGGCCCCGCAGAGCAGAGGCTTCCCTCCGCGCTCCCTTCCTACCGGCTGGCTTGGCCAGAAAACGGCACCTTCAGAAGGTTGCAGGCCTCTCACGTCCTGCCCTCGGCCTCCAACATCCCATCAGGAAAGACAGATATCTCTGCAGTGGAGCCGATAGTAGCCGTGAGCTAAACGGTGGCCCTGGGGTGTCGAGAAGGACCTCAATTTTGGCTGGAGCTAGGAAGGGGGGAAGATGTGGGGCCCTGCATGGTGGCTGTGGCAGCTCCAAGCCTGGCTGTGTGAGAGGCAGCATGAAGGAGCTGCATCTTCGATGCAGGCTGATGGTAATAATACACAGCCCTGGAAGGGAAGGAAGGAAACTCTTGCCGGGAAGGAGCTCTCTTTTTGTCTTGGTCGCGTTGACATCGGACCTGGCAGCAGGGAGGGATTCTCTGCATGTACACTGCTGTTATCTGCATGACTGAGTCTTTTTGCTGCTGGGGTGGTGCGTGTATTTTGTATTTAAATGCTAAAGCAACAGCCTGGTCACATCGAGCCTCCATCCCCCTTAGTCTCTCGGTAGCACTGCAGAAATGGCAGATGTAGACCCACAGGCCTCTGGCTTAAATCCCGTGCACTTGGGTGGGAGACATCTCTTCCTACAGGGTTAAGGGTCAAGGTCTGCTCAGTATGAGTAAAAAAAAAATACATCTTAAAAATCCATTTTTTGTGTGTTAATACCTTCCGAGAGGTGGAGGGCTAGACAGCTACTGAAAATTAAAGTGGTCTTTCGCATCACAGGCACTTTTTCTAAGGTAGCACTGAAGAAAAATCGCTGCTTATTCTTTGTGTGAGTGGATGGCAAACACCAACCTGGTGGCTCAGCATCTGTTGTCAGTGCTAAATCACCCAGAATTTTACCTTCATAAAATAGTCATGAATATGCATAAAGCTTTTCTTCAACTAGAGAACTAAAACCTTAACAAAAACTATTGAAAGCCATGGATTTACCATCCACAGAGCATCGATGATGAATCGCTTAATCTGAGTTGGGATTAGGACCTTTTGATCAGAGCATCTCTGTGTTGTTCTCAAGTGGTAGCTAAAGGATCCCACAGTTTGAGTTTTTAATTTGTCTTTGAATGTTGCTCTCTTGTCCTGTAAAGCACCTGGGGACTTCTCAGATCAGACATTTGGGACATTTTATCTTAGCTCAGATGTTAGCTCTTTGGAATCAGTTCATAAATAAACTGCTTTGATGATATCTGTGATAGCAAGTAATAAAAGAAGAACATTTCTTGGCGAGATATCCCCTGGTCAACGCACAATTTTAGTGCATTTGAAGATGAGTGAGATGTGTTCTTTGTGGGATGGCTGTTAAGAAATTGATGTGACTGCAGCTGTCTGGAGTATTTTGCAGAACTCAGTGTTCTTAACAGAAAAATATCTGGTTCTGAATGAGAAAAAAACATATAGGGGCATTCCAAAATGTACCTTGTATTACACAGGGAAGCAATAACTTTTCCTGTGCTGTGGAAATTAGCTTGAATGTCCCACCAGGGTGCCACATTCCACATTCGACTTGCAGCAGCCAGCAGAGAAGTGAGGAAAATCTTCTTTTTATAAATGGGAAGAAAAATAAAAAGAGAGAGAAAAAAAAAACTGTTTTTCCTAATGTCCTGTAATAAACTTATTCTGAAATCATTTTAAGTCTTGTGCAGGTTTTTTGCACCTGAGCACATAAGGAGGCTGCAGTGGCTGCCCCTCCTTGCAGCCAGCCTGTCCGTGCACACCTTGTCCTCCTGCTTTTGCTTTCACAAGGTGGGATCTGTCTCTCCCTTTTAATCCAGCATTATTTTCCTACTCTTTATCAAAGCTCCATGAATCAGAGTACTTTGTCTTGGGCTGAATCAAAGTTTTCTCCTGCCTGCTTTGAGCCCTGAAGCCAAGTCCCATCCACTCCCCCAGTGCCTGCCAGGTGAGGTCCCAGCTGTGCAGGGCCCCTCGGCCACATGCTCCGGTCCGGACACAGCAGCTCCCCTCTGTTTCCCAGCACACAAACCTTTTGGATTGCTGGCTGCCTGAAAACCTGATATTATGCACTTGAAAGAGAGAAGCGATGAGATATTTTCAAAACTGGTGTGACCTCAGCCACGTTCAGCAAGTCTGCCCCCTTCCCTGCTCGCAGTGCCTCAGCTGCGAGAGACGGCGTCCACACAAAGGTCTTTTCATTAAATAATGAATTATGAAATTCTACAGAATCAAGGGTGACCTTTCACAAAGCACGCACACCTCTGACTTGGAGCACCGTGTTTTATACACAGCTAACTTGTGAAACTCTCTCTGGCTGCTTCTGATTGTTTTAGCTGCCCGGTTTATCTCTATTGACCCTGTGCATTACAGAGGGACAGTGGGAGTGTGGATACCAAATCTCACCTTTCCATACATTTACATTTTGATGGGTGTGTTTTTAATAGGTTAATGACCCTTAATGAGCAAAAGGTTACCTTGGTCAGTCTGGAATCTCCCTCCAGCTGTTCTCCTCCTTGTTTCTAACTTGCATCCGTTATCTCCCTTGCTTCTGCTAGCTAGAGGCTACCAGTCTCCCTGTTTTCTTCAGGGTTTCCTTCGTTTCTTCAGTGTAAGACCACAATGGGACACTGCAGAGCCTACACCTGGAGAGACAAGCACCCAGTGTGTGGGCCTGGCTCCTGCTGGGCTTGCTGGGTGTGCTGGCAGCTCCTCCTGAGGGAGCTTTTGCTGTGAGAGGGGTTGCAGGTTAATAGTCTTCATGGTCTAGAGGGGTGATATCGGTAGGAGGGGGATGCTTGGACCAGATGATCTTGGAGGTCTCTTCCAGCCTTAATGATCGACGATTCCATGATCAGGGCTGATGAACAGACCAGCAGCAGAGGTGAGCCTCAAGTGGTGCTCTGCCAACCCAGTGCTTCAATACAACTTTGCCAAACCTGAACTGTTTGGACTGAGCTATGATTTATAGCAGAGTTCTTTTCTTCCCTGTCAGTAAACATGGTGGTGTTGTTTTCAAGGACATCCACATGTCGGATTCTGCAGGTACATCCTTGCAGCTTAGCCTTGTGTGGGATGAAGGGCTCATGGTCTGACCTCAGTAACCTGTGCTTTCTGAAGCTGAAGGTAACCTTTCAATATTTTAAGATTCGCCTTCTGTAGCTGCAGTTAACACCTTGGAACAACTGCACGTGTAGAAGCTTGCCGTAACTCCAGCAGCCACATCCTCCAGTGCCCAACATTAGCTCCAGGAGGCTCTGAGCAGGGCTCCTGCAGTTACAGCTCAGGTCCTGAGAGGAAAACCTTCCTCCTCCAGGCTCTGGTCATGCCCTGCCAGGTTTGGGATCAGAGGGGCTGTAAGAAGTGCTGAAGCTGGTGTAGTTACAAAGGCTTGGAGGGATGGACCTGGTAAAAAGAAGAGCAATGAGCATCAACCACCAGTGAACCTGAACAGCCTGATCTAGGCCTGAACTGGTGCTCAGCATCCAGCAGAGGAATGAGTTTTTGGGAGAACAGGACAGAAGCAGGCAGGAGGACAACAACCTCACAGCTAAAGCACTGGAAATGGTGCCCTTCAAAACTGTCCGTAATACCTGGTGCTACAATGTGCCCTGCATGCCATGGGGTAATTTCTGACTAGCATTTCCTAATCAGCTCTTCTTCATTTCCTTCATATTTGATTTGGGATCTTGGATGAACGTTTTGCATTCACTGGTGCTGCTGAAAACAGCATGGGTTGTGTTCTGAGCAGGCAAAGTGCAGCAGGATGTAAAGTATTCGAAAAATGTCATGTCCCGGGCAATTTAAATCGGGCATCCAGGCTTCGGGGGTATTTTTTCACCCTGCCTCAGCTGTGTTGCAGATCTAAGGTGACAAAAGTCACTGGTGCTTACACAGCATTCAGGTGCCCTCTGGGTGAGTGTGAAGGGACAGTGTGAGGGATGAGGAGATGTGTGTGCATGCACAGGGTGAAGAGTCTTTCGTTTTCTCCTTCGTTTATGTTTGCCTGCTGCTGCTATACTTCTGCTACATTTTGATTTTTGTTAGCATGCAGTGCTTGGAAGCCATCACGGAGGTGTTTTGGTTGCTGCCTTTTGCAAGATGGCCAAGGACAAGTCTGGGAGGAGATTTTGGTGTGAGAAAGGGCTGGTTGCTCTGGAGCACGGTGAGAATCACGCTCTCAGGAAGCTCTTCTTTTCCCCAGGGGAATGTAAAACATCAGAGCTTAGAGTGAGGTCATTTCACTTTATCTGGCTTGAAGATTGCTTTTTCCCAGCCCCACAGACATATCCACATGCTCAGCAGCACCAAGAGCTGTGTGTCCTGGCCAGGCTCACCCCTGTGTGACACAGAGCTCCAGGGATGCTGGCCACCCACTCCTCATTACACCTCTTTGGTTCCTTTTGGTTGGCAATGAAGTAGACTTCAGACAGGTGTTTTTTCATCTTTAGGAATCAGCATTTATTATTGCTACCTTTTCCCTAGGTACCCTGCCTACTTCTGCTTCCGTAAATCTTAGGCAAGGTCACTGCCTGCTGGCGTTGTTCCCTCATTTTCATTTCTTTATAGCTGCAGGCTGCACTGCTGCCGGGGTGAAGGCACAGGAAAGGTAGATGGGATGAGCTGTCACCCTGTGGCTGTCCTCCTGTGGCCATCAGACATCAGATCATCTGCTGCCAGCTCATCTGAGCTGGGGCCACATCACAGCACGGCCCTCTGGCCCTGAGGTAAACTGTGGGCTTCCCGGAGCTCACCAGTCTGACCGCTGTCAGTCCTGTCCTTGGTTATTGATAGAGGTCTTTCTTTTAACCCTGGCTCTGTCCTTTCCTCTGGACCTTCCACACGTGTGTTTCCATTCCCACACCATCCATCTCCATCCCAATATTTGCATTACAAATCTCTACAGCCTCTCATCGCCAAAGTTGCTTTAAGCTGCACAGTTCCAACATGTGAACCACATCAGACCACATCAACCAAGCCTTGCAAAAGTCCCCGAGGAAGCCCCTCTGCCCCTGGCACACACTGCCCACAGCAGAGGGGCATCTACCAGGTAAGGTGCACCCAAGGCATGGAGCTGATCGCAGAAAGACCACCCAGCCCAACTGCAGGAGTTCTGTGAAAAAACAAAACACGATCTTGTAATTAGAGAATGCGTTGTCTGGCATATCAATAAGGGAGCTCGATTAAGGTCACGTTAATGCTGGTATCTCCAAAACTTTGAGTGGTTGGCTTTGCAGTTTTCACAGTTTTAGCAGAGTGCTGTGATATTTGTATTCAAAAATGAAATTATTTTTATTAACAATACTCTTTTAATCTTTTTTCGCTTTCATTGAAAAATATTGTAGGACAGCTGGCCTATGAAAATTAACTTCCAAGTTCTATGAATTCATGAATTTTAATTCTATGTTTCTAACAACATTCTATTAATTTCCTCCACAAAGAATTAGACAGAGACCTTGAAAGGGAACAAAGATGATGCCAGGCTGTGTCTGGCAGCTGGTGCTATTCTGAGCGGCACTCAGGGGAGAACAAATCCTCAAAGCCTTTCTTGCACTTGTTGATGTCAGATGAGGTTTTTCCCTTTCAGCTTTCATTCTCTTCCTCCCCCTGTCCCTCTCTCTTTGTCCTTCCTTCCTTAAGGCAATTAAGAGGAATGTCTGCGGGATGGAAAGGGACTTTGGGGCAAAATCTACCCGACTCTTTTGCATTGAGAAAAGACAGAGCATGTCTTGGGTTGCTGCTTGTCCAGCCTCATTTTAAAGAAATCTGCTGAGAGGAGTTCCACATCCATCCTGGTACAGGTGAGAGGTGCGTCAGCACCAGGGTGTCACGACTCCAGAAGACAGAAAAATAACTGAAGGGCTATGCCACTGCTGAAACCATGGCATCTGAGAAGTGCCTGTGGCCCATTAGTGCTCCCCTGCTCCATCCCTGCCTCCACCTAAAGCCAGCATCAGTGCTGTGAAGGTAGCACGTCCCTCACGCCAGGGCTTTCCAGATTTGTGGTTAAGCTTTTTCTAGGCACTTAAGCCAACCTGATGCTTTTGCACATGAATTTGATGTCTTCTTTTTCATGTCCTTTTAGAAGAGTAGTCTCACTAGTTTTATTTAGAGAAGGTTTAGAGAAGGTTTTTCTTACTTGTTCCCCCTCTCTTCTACAAAAATCAGACTTCTTCCATCTTTCCCTCACAGGTGCCATTTTCCAAGCCTCTCACTTTGTGCACACATTTTTCCTGAAAACTGATGCCTGAAACAGACCATTCCAGGTACTCCACAGCCCCTTCCAAGTGGGACAGGAAGGCCATCTCCCATGCCTTACATCTGGCGTTCCTATTATGACATTCCAGAGGGATGGGGGAGTTGGGTTTTTGTTCCTGCAAAAGCATCACAGTGACAATTTGGTGAGTTTAAATCTCAGTATTTTTTTTCTTAAACTCCTAATGCCTAGCTGATCATTCCCTGTTTGATTTTTCCCTCATAAGAGTCGTTGTTTTGAATTCAGCTTTATTTAATTTCACCTAGCTGGGTTCTGGTCACTTCTCAAATGGGTAGCGCTCAGTAGGACGCCATCCGCTTCAGTACTGAACAGAAGAAGCCTGCAGGGCTCCACTTGCAGTGTCTTTCTATCAAATACATGAATTCAGACCTTCTCCAGACTCTTCATCACAGTATTT